AAAAAAAAAAAAAAAAAAACACATCTTAGTAAAACCTTCTCAGCTTCGCATCGAACCTAAAGTAGTCGGGTAAATACAGTAACATTATTATTTAGTGTACAGAGAAGAACTATCGGTAAATTTGAATAAAAGATAAAATCTTTTATAAATCGATGTGAGTAATACTCACCTCCCCTAAATTTTAATGAATCATAGCTAGCTGATAATTGAATAAAATAAAAAAAAATTTTTACAAAAATTTGTTTAAAACTAAATATTATCTGATTATATAAAACAAAAAATAGGGTTACTATTTGAAAATTGAAAGTTGATACTGATTTAAAGCTTAAGGGATGATCATAAAAATGTAATTTCATTCATTGAACAGCCCAAGATAGAAACATAAAAAAAAAAAGATAACTCTTATATTATTAGAGATAATTTGTGAGGCATAGTTAATTAATCAGCCTGTATACAGAGTGTTCAGTAATTAAGGAAACATATCAATTGTTATATACAATGTAAACAATAGAAACCCGTTTTCTTACTTACTGAACACCTTTATGTTTTTGAGCTTCAATATATAGCTTATTTTTTTAATAAGTGAATAATAATTATTTAATGTTATGTATGATGTACACTATACATACATGCCTCCTTCAAATTAAATAATGATTCACGAATTTTAGAAGTATTTAGGGGGAAAAAAAAGTTATCTAAATTATATAACATTATAATCCTCCTTTCCGAAATACGTGTCAGCTAAAGGTAATGGTTAAAATATCATGCAGGTTAAATTTATCTATTATTAGAAATAATTGTACCAGTACTTACAAATTGCGCAGTTTTTAACGTACAAGCCACGAAACACTAAAAAGAATGTGGTACATTATATAAGTTTTTACTTGAATACAAATATTTGATATAATTTTGTGGTTCAGTGTACCATATTTGTCTTCAATTAATACATTTCATACATTGACGGACACTATTACTGCTATAGTAGTAATATGAAAAAAAATTATATTGCAGCTATGACAATAATATTTTCATTGGAACCAAATAGTAGAGGGAATTTGACTGCAGCACGTTAAATGATAACCAAAATAACAAGTGTCCGTCAATGAATTAGATCATTTAAATTAAATATGCATAGAAAATTTTACTATAAAATATATGTATTCATTATTTAAATAAATTACATTAAGTCATGAAAAATAAAATCATACTTTAAAACTTTTGTTATCCACAATTTCGCCTTTCTTGAAATTATCAAAGATTTCTGTAATTTATTTCAAAATTAATAATAATTAAGATAAGAATAACAATATCATTGACGATTAAAACTAGAAGGAACACGGAAGGGATGTGCACCAAAATATATTGTTTCAATAATAATAAACTTCTCACTGCCCCGACCTTGACCGGTTATTACCTATTAAAAATAATGATATTTGAAATACACATTCAAATATACTCTAATTTAATTAAAATTATTTTGATATTCTTTAAAAATTCTTTAAAAGTTACAACAAATTTTGTATTAAATTATTTTTTTCACATTTTTACCATTTTATATTTATTTTACAAAGTTTTATTCGCAAATAATGTTAAACTTGTTTTTATGACTAAAATAAACGGGCATATTAAATTATTTTCTATCGTATAACCATCCAAAAATACACTTCAAAATATAATTTTTGAAAGATTTAAAATTTATATTAGTATCTCACATATTTAATCAAAAAATTATGTAAATAAACCATGTGTATTTGGTTTTATTTTTTAATTTAAAAAATATATTAGTCAATTTTACTTTATGTTTATTATTGTTTTTGTATGATAAATTATTATGAAATCAAATTTCTGATCATTAACTGTTTTTATATGTTTTATATACAATTAAAATAGTATTGCCATAAATGTAATTTACTCGAGATACATATCTCGAGAACAATGCTAACATCATCAACTCTAAACAAATACTGATACTCTAATTGAAAAAAACCCTTAGATCCTAGTGACCTTATCACTAAGTTAAACTATCAAATTTTGAGAGTTTACACAAGTTTGACAACGGCCCAGCTCTAGTAATTATTAATAAATAAATAATACAAAAATACAAAATTTTAAGACTTTATATCGTATTTTTCTTTTTGATAATCAGTTTTGGAAAATATCTACAGGTATTATATCTTTTCCAAGTTATTCGATGTATATGGTTTTACCAAAAAATTATTTGAACGTCACTAAATAATATCATAAGTGGACATTGGAAGGACAAATAAGAGCTTAGTCCCTTAAATCGAAATATAATTGTTGATATAAAAAAGTCCCCTTGATCAGTTTTTTCATTCTAGCTACTCTAACATTTTTAGTAAATGTCCGCCTATAAACTATAACTATAATTAATTTTATTACCATCTGGAACTGGGTGTTTTTTTATGCATACACTTTTAACCATTTTTTGCATTTTAATAATAGCTGCTTCTGATAAATACTGAAATAAAAAATTTTAAATAAAAACTTTTTATTTTTTTTTATTTTCTTAAATATTTTAGTAACGGATTCAGTTGAATTTTATGTATACGTATTTTTTAAATATCTTTAATTAGTCTAACATCAGTATTCTTAACTTAGTAAATCTAAGAATTTAAATTTATTTTGCATAAAAAAAATGTTTCTCTATTATACAATTAGTGGTAAACATAAAATTCTAATTAAGAACTTGTAAGAAAATTTTCAATACTAGTATAATTCTGGCAATTTTAGAAAAGATTTTTGACTACACATATATCACCTTAAATATCTTTAAAATAAAATATTTAAGAAAAATAAAAAAATAATTTATTTATCTAGAAAATTTAGTCCAATTCTTGTAAAAAAATTATTTTTAAAGTTATTATAGTCTTACAAGCCATATAATATTGTACAAATATACTAAATTACTATTAATAATTTTTTATATGAATATCCTTAAATTTTATAAACCATATGATATATTTAATTAATTATACTTACTGCATCACAACCCACTGACAAAGTCATTAAAATTGCAATCAAAATAATGGGTGATAAAATGCTCATATTTTTTAATTCAAATGACTTCATACATGTATAAGTTTCTTTATTGTTAATAGAGTTATTATAGAATGTTTTAAACTTATAAACTTAACTATACTACCACCTAATCGACCAAGTGAATAATATCTAGATATAATGTATCATTAAAGTTATTATTATAGCTTATAACATTATCATATTAATTCTCTTCTATCAGAAAATCCTTATTACTATAATAATACTATTGATATAAACATTAAATAAAATTACACAATAGTCAGTCATTCATTATCAAGGATACAATAAAGTATTTAGTCATTTTTCTACTTCCTTTATTTAAGTTAAACATTAAAAATTAATGATAACTATAAAGCTATTAATTATTGCTTACAACTAGTTTACACGAGCTATTTATTAACAGTTTTTAAAAATTATATAGAATAATCTAAAAGTTTTTTAGTAAAGTAAAACATTTACCAAAAGTTATTTCATAAATAAAAAAAAATGATTACTATAAGCTGGTAGTGATTTCATTTTAAAATAAAATCAATAAAAATAGTTTTATTATAGTTACAAATTAGTTTAATAATAAACAATTATTCTTAAAAGGCATATTTTTAAGTTTTTTAATAGACAGTAAATTTTTAGTTTGGAATTATTGTATTATTCAGATAGAAAACTATATTTTACTTCCAAGCAACAGTTTAACTTAACGGGAAACTGTCTTTGATTACCATCATTTTCACACTATTATTTCATTCTAAGGAGCATTTATAGTATATCCAAAAGAATTATTTGTTTATTTGATTTAAGATATTAAGAACACTTGGTGTTTTGATTTAATTTGTTACACTCTTTGTATATTATTCTTGAACACTACACAACTAATCGTAACTTTATAATATTAATAAAATTAAAAATTTAGTTTTAAAATTTTCAGCACATTAATTATGAATCTATTAAAAAACTAAATCTTATTATAATATTTATATGATTTTATCAATGAGGGAAACTATGATTAATGTATTTAGGTTCGTAAAATTAATGTTAAGCCTTTTTTTGCTCATAATTTCTATTTATGGAGTGATACAAATATTCTTTGGATCGAGCTGGCCGGCCACAATTTTGTGTCCTTGAGATGTTGGCCTTTATGTCCTCGCTTATTGTTATACTGGTCATTACAAATTTTAAGTGGATTTTAATAATGTGTACATAACCAATGACAGGAAAAAAAATTTACGTAAAAAGTTTGGATTCGTGGCTATAGTAATAAAATGACGAATTTTACAAAATGTCACTATTTTTTGTCTTTTTATCTATTGTGAAATATAAAAAATGTTTTTTTATAGTTTTAAATGAATGCATTATTATTAATAAAATAATGTAGTTTCTATTATAACTTAATAGATTTCGTTGCATTATTTCCTTTAAAAAAGTACTAAATTTTCTTCATTATACTAAAACTGATAACAAATTTATAAATTCACCAAAAAATAATCAACCATTTATTATTTCCTATATTACCGTATATTTGGTCAAAGTAATTATATAAAATACAAACAAATATTCTTTGATACAGCCATAAGAAACATATATATTTATTAAATTATTTAAAAAGCAAATAATTTTTTTTTCTAAATAATAGTAATTTAAATTTTTCATGGAAATATTGAAACAGAAAAGTATCTTTAAAAAACTATTTTTTTTATGGACTATTGTTTTAGATCGCAATCGATTAAAATCGCAATAATAAACGCTTTGATGCGATTGTTTCGAGAGAAAGTTTGATTATTAGGGTCAATTTTTTTTCGAATAGGTTTATACCATAAACGCTAAAACTTTTAAAAATACCTCTTAAAATTACTTATATTTAAAAACATTTAAACTTGAACAATTTTTATAAGTGACTATTTTTAAGTATAATAAATACCCCTCCTTTATATTTAATCTGTTTGATCATTAATAATTGAAATATAAAATTATAAAAAAACGAAAAACATTAATTTTTAAAAATAAATAGCAATTTTTATTTAATCGTGGGAGACATTTAGATATAAAATACTGGTCGTCGGGTAATTGTTTTTTTAGTTAACTATAATGATTTATTGTATATTTATTTTTAGGACGCAGAGTTTCTTAATTATTTTCAAAAGTTAAATTGAAAACGTTCTTCTTTTTAAACATGTTTTTAAAGTCGTAAATTTCCTGTATAAAGAAGAAGGTTTCAAAGAGTTTTCCTTATATTATTCAAAAAATAAAACTACATTAAATTGAAAACATAAAATATAAAATCGAGATTTTAAAGAAAAGTGCCATGATTTACTACGGCGACCAAAAATAATTTTGCAATCACAGTCGACTAAAACATCAAACATAACCAAAGTTGCTCAAATTTTTGTAAAAGTAGTTATATATGAATTAATTTATGAATACTAAAATATTTTTTGTTTTTGTAACTTAGTAATAAAATTCCTGTATTTATCGTTTACGGTATATACTCAATTATTACCACTAGATAGCGTAGCAATATAAATGTCAATTTTATAAATTTATACATAGAATATAATGTATCTTATAAGAGGTAATTTTTTTTTGCGTAACCACTAAAAACAGTTTGATAAATGTAGACGTAGTTTCGTGAAATCGTAATGAATTTAATATAAAAATATTATTACTTCAAAAGTTATTAACTTGACTCATACTTCTAGCATTTACATTTTTTTTTTTTTTAAGGATGTCTGCATAAGCTATAGTTTTGTTTCAGAAAACCAAAAAAACTGAATACGAAATTTTATGTTGCATATTTCAAAGTTTAAGTTCTATTTTGTTTATTTCAGTTCCGTAATATTGAAAAGTTTCTGGGAGGTAAATACATAAGTTTTATTTTTATTTTTATCTATTAAAACAAGAAAAAGCACTGAAGTAAAACACGTACTCTTATTAATCTTATGCTACGGTACATAGGAATCCATTGACTTATCTTAACTAATATTTTATTTAATTTTAGACAAGCAAATTTTTACTTAAAAAAACCTATGTGATTAAAATATATATAATTTTTATTTTATTAGGATATAACTAATATTAATGTTGTTTTATAAATGTAATTTTATATTTTAATTATACCAAGGATTATCTATAATTTGTATAAATTATTAGATTATTTTATAATTTTATTTTATATTACATTATTCAATGAAATAATTTAAAAATAATTCCTCAGGCAGCTTTTAAATGACTTACTGACCATTTTTTTAGCTTCGATGCGAAGCTGAGAATGTATTGGTTTTTCATTTTTAATCTAAAAAGTCCAGCGTTAAGAAAATTTGCACCAGGTCCCGCCAATTGTTCTAGTAGCAAATTTAAGAGTAACAAAGAGAACAATATTTTTGAATTATAGTATTTCTATACAGCATTTGGAATATTTGTTTTTAATGTCGCTCATTCTTCTCCATTCTATGTTTTTTTAGCCTCAACACAAATTTTATAAATAATTATAGCAATTATAGCAATTATAATTATATAATATGGTAGTAGGTACAGGAAAATTTTTTTTATATATAACATTATTTCTACTACAATTAATACTTGGTCATTGCCTTTAATTCAGAATATAAGTATTACGATTTTTTAGTCTTTTTAAAAAATTATATATGTTTAACTTTAATGATAAAAGTATATTTTTTCACAAGATTGCACAATTTTACATGAAATAAAAGTCAAGTTTTTAAATATCATTTAAATCTCTTTATTATTTGACCTTTTTGTTGCATATTATAGCATAAAAGCAATATTTTTCTATAATCTTTTTTTCATAACTGTATTTATTTTGGGTGTAATTAAGCGGTTTATAATAAAATGAGTACTGTATAAAAATAAAATAAAAGAATATTAAAATTCAAGACCTTTTCAAAAATTTCAACGAAATATAAAATTGTACACTTTGATTATTATTTAAATTCTCTTTAGCAAATTTAAAATAATTTTAAACAATTATTGTTATTTTGCCTATTTGATACCAATATATGTTGAAGAATATTTAATCTGCTGCTGACTAATGGGGGTCATACACCCCGGACAGGCTGCAAACAACAGAGTCTGACGACTGTTGTAGAAAGAGTGCAGGCTCACACACTGTTCATTCGCATATTAAACCAAGATTTTTAGACAACAATAATTATTACAACCGGTCACACTGGCTTGGATCACAGTTAGAAATTCGTTTTTCACTGTCGCCTACATTTCTTACCAGGTGTATTTTTTTTTATCACAAGTTAAATTTTTATCACAAACCTGTTGATTGCGATTACTCATACTTTGACAAATATAACTATTTTGTTATTATTATTGTTGTCAAACGTTACGTTAAATTCGTTAGTAAAATTGTTTAAATTCATATCGCCGAATTTGGTTCGTTGCGAATCGGTCTTAGTACTTTCAATACCAAAAATAGTTAAATGACGTGTTTTTATTTTCAAAAACCACTACTTTATATAATATAGTTTAATTGGTGAGCATATTTAATGTATGGTAGTTTTAATAATATAAAATTGTGTTTTTAATTTTTTTTATAAAGAAATAATGATTAATGATTTTGCTTAAGTTTTTTCTTTTTACTATGAAACTAATGAAAAATTTTCTTTTCAATAATCCTAATAAATTTAAGGAAAACCGAGATAATTTATGTTAACAGCAGTTGTTAAAAAATCTAAATTGGAGTTTTTGTAAATTATGGCTGATGATACAATGGATAATGAAGAGCAGAGACCAGTAACTGCAGCTGGATCATCGTATATGTTGGTATGTATATTAATTTACAATTAACTATAACACATCAATAATTTTCAATGAAAAAATCTGAGGTTGCTGTCCATTTTCAATAAAATTTGATGAATTAATATTAATGAATATAAACTAAATTTTTGAGAAAATAATAAATTTGTATTTTAAATTATGTATATACTTTGATCAAATATTATTAAGTTGAGCTAATTATAATTTAAAAGTATTTAATTTGCTTTAAGTAATTAGTATATTGATTTTTTTATCATATGCTATATAGTATTTTATATACAGAGTGTTCAGTAAGTAAGAAACAGATAAATTTTTACAAATAATGATAACAATAGAAACCGTTTCCTTATTTACTGAACACTTTGTATAAATATAATAGTCATCTTATAGTATCTAATTGTTAAAAAAATATTAGATTAAAAGTATTGTAAAAAAATGAAGAGTTTATGTTTAGTTGTAGCACCCTGTGAATCACTTATTTGTTTCATTCTTATTTTCAAATCGATATGACACTAATATTAAGCTCCATGGTGATGGTTTTTAATAGTTGACCATTTAATAGCAGTAAATATCATAAAATAGTCTTTCTTCTTTAAGAGCACTGAAAAAATATCCTTTTGTAAAAAATCTACTCAAAACTAAAAAAATTATCATTAACCCATATATATTAGATACTAGACTCTCGACAATTTTCTTTGATCATTATAAATAGTTTTGTGGTTTCATATAAATGCAAAGGTAAATGAACAACATACACATGTTTTTTATACCATATATTAATTCTCAATAGTTAAATTATTTATATTAATTCATTAATTTTTATTAGCAAATGTATATTTATGGGATGAGCTCAAAGGATTTGAGACCTAAAATAAATATTTTTTCAATTTTATTTGAGTAAAAATATTTGTCTACAAATAAGCAATAAGTATAATAGAATAACATAATAAATTAATTAATTTTATTATTCTGGAGTTTAGAGCAACGTGCACTATAACATGTGAATGCAGTTTTCAAATTATTACAATTTAGTTTACGGCTAATTAATTAAATTTATTTACAGCCTAATTAAGGTTTATAATTATTTTGCAAAAAAACTTAAAAAATTGCGAAAAAAAAATATCTTAACAAATGTTACATTATGTTGTTCTTTCATTTTGATTTTAGTTATCTGTTGATAAACTATTCAAACACATTTATTTATTATAAAAACATGCTTAAAGCACATTAATAGACATATTAAAAATTTAATCAAATTAATAATTAGAGGAAAATGACTGATTGTAATTTTTTTAAGTGCCTTCATATATATTTGGTAGTTATGTGAAGGGTACTAAATAATCATTCATATACAAGGGTAACCACACGTGGTAACTGCAATAAAATGGTTATTTATAAGTAAATAAACATTTATGTCTAATTTCTGGATGAACTATAACTCGAATTATATCACCTTTTTTAATATTTGTTTTTTTATAAATACCTAATTAAAATTTACTAAAAAAATGTTATCAATTCTTTAACATACTCTACTAGAATAATCTATTTATTAGGGATTTTTAACTATAACTTAAAGAGTAGTAATCACCAATGTGTACAACATATAAATTCTTAATGTAATTGATTTTAATGAGCCATATTATTTGCCTGCACACAATTATTTTCTTAATCATTTATCAATGACGTTTTATTTTTAACAAACACATTTCTTTACACCAGGGAAAAGTTTCGTACATCGAATATTTAGTTACTTCTATTGGTTGATATAATTTTAAAACAAATCTTTTTGCGTAGTTATACCAGGTGTTTTGTTACTATAAATTAATTAATTGTGAAGAATTTCATTACATATTCTTTTGAATTTTCTAAATGTTTTTACATTTTAATAATTTTCTTAGCGTATGGCACTATTTGCTACGATTGCAAGTTCTGTTATATTTTTCTTTTAATACAGAATAATACTCATTATTATTATTTTTATTAATAAAAGAAATATAAAAGTTGTCTATTACATTTAATGTAATTTGGTGATATTTCTAACACTGTCTATTTAGTAATCCTAGTATAAATTTTTATCCTATAGTTAAGTCTTTAAAGCTTACAATGTTAAACATATGAGCTCATGATTAATTTTTATACTTTGATGAGTAATTAAACATGAATTTATTTTGAAAAGTCTTCTTATATTTGTATGTTCCATATCCTACTAATATTTACTCAACATTTTAAATTGAGTTAATAAATATAATATGTAAATCCGGTAACTTGATTTTTTTTTCAATTTTTTTTTATTTTATTTGTTTTTTGGACTACAAAAAAAAATGTATTTACCTATATATACATTTTTTTGGCGCAATGTACTCTATAGCGTCTTAATTTTACCATGATGTAGTGTAATGATTTTTTATGGCCGTAATTATGATGGCATTATTATTATTAGTTTTTATGAGATAGACTTTTTGTTTAAAAATATTCAATTTATAAACGCACAATGGATGATATTTTCAAAGCATCAGCTAAAAAACAACGACGAAACCAATTACTTTTAAGAGGCTTAAGGTTTTGAGCGTTGTAGTTTCATCCAAATATCGTTCAGTAGCTTATAAAAGTCTTTGAATAATGTATGAAGAACAATTACTTTATGTCTTAGAAATGTTGATTATTTTATGCTCTTACAATCATCTTCTTCATTATTATTTTTTTAATGACTATAATGTTAGTACATAATGTAAGAAAGTCAATTATTTTAAGCGAAAGCTTATTAATTTTTTTTTTTAACCAACAAGTTAGAATCTATTTGAAATTATAGTTAAATTTAAATAGTTATGTAAAAATAATAATATTTTTAATGCAAATTTCAATATTTAATAGTTAAAACTCCTTCATTAAAAACTTATAATAAGTCAAATCGGAAAAAATGTAACTTAATCACGAAAACTTTAATTGTTTTGTAATGATATAATGTATTATCCTTTGGACAACTTTGTTAATTTTTTTTTTTCGTTATTACCCATTTAAAATTTTTAGCTTTCATGTGGGTCTAAGAAAGTATTAATTCTACAATTATGTATTTTTTAATTAATTATTTTTTTTTATTCATCTTTCACCGCTTACTAGATCGATTTCGTTTAACAATACATCATCAGATCACAATTATTATCTTATTAAACTGATTAATATAATAATTTGATAACAGTTCTTTCAATCTTGGCAAATAGGAGAAATCTCTAAAAAATAACAATTATTGAAATTAGCAAATTTTGATTTTTAAATTTGCTTTTTATGCTTATGATTGTAATAAATTTTTGGAACTTAAATAAATCATATTAAAAAAAATTTGGGATCATCTTTAGGGATGTCACATTTATTGAACACATTTTTTTAATCTGATCATTTATAAGGAAAGGGGTGTTAACAAATCAAACATGCGTATATAAAGTAAAACCTTTGCAACATAAGTTTTGTAAATATTTTGAACATTTTACGTTTATAGATATATATTAAAAAAATTATTATGTAATATACTACAAGTTAAAAACAAATATCCCCACGATTAATATTTAATATGTAAATAGGTCCTTAACGTTAACAAAAAAAATTATTTTTTTGTAAAAAATCGTTTTTTTTTTTTAAATTGTTATTGTCTTCAACTTCAATTATTTTTTAAATTATAAGTGTATAGTTTAGGCTTAACTATAAAATATAAAGTGGGCAGGTGTTCGTACTTACTAGTTAAAAATAACCCTTTATCAAAATAAATTAAATAATATTTGAGCCTTGTTAATTATAAGTAGTATTAAGAAGGTCATTTGCATGTTTTAGTTCTATTTAATAAAAATAATAAAGGCTTTAAGAATGTTTTCGAAAAAAATGTTTGTAGCTACAAAGAACTAATAAATGAATTACAAATTCAATTCATACTGAAATTATAACCAACGAACGAAGGTCAAAATAATCAAGCATTCTATATAATCGCAAAATCACTATCATAGAACAGAAAGTAATTTTCATTTTATTATTCTTTATATATATATTTTTTATGATACCAAATTCGTTTTTTTGTCACTACTAAAAATATCTAGATATATCATTAAACTAATTGTTAAGCCAGTGATAATATTACCTTTTATGATAGATAAATTCAATCATAGTTATCTAAATATCATCCAAATGATATTCTTTAGTTATCTAGATACTACATTGATGGAACACCATTTTATTTTTATTAATTTCTAAGTCTACGTTTGAGGCGGTATTATTCTAATGAAACATTCGAAGGTAATTTCTTATATTATAACTACTTGATATCGTTGACGAATTGTATTTATTGCACAAAATTATGTTAAAGAGGAAAACAAATTAATGACATATTTTAAAAATTAACAGTAGCACAACTAAAGTACATTGTTGGCTCGAGTTTGATTAAACTCCTCGAGAGCGAAAACATACAATTATTCGAAGAGAAATATCGTTGAAATTCTTCTCTTGTGCAAAATGGGAAGTCCACAATTTCGAAGACAAATCGAGCTAACCTTCTTGTTTAATAGAAGCAATACATTTCAAACAGACTACTGGTTACATTAGTACAACGTTCCGTGCAGTATATTTACTTACGGGTGAATCATTTTATCAGACATTTTCACAATGTATAAAAAATAAATATTCAATGCTGTAATATTACTACATTCAGTCCTTTGTTTTTATTTTAGAATATTTTTCATTAGAATACATGATAGCAATACAATGATAGCTGCTAGTTACGATATTATTTTGGCTGTTAATTCTGTTGATACATTCTTATTGATGTATTAATAATAGTCTTAAATTTATTTTACTATCTGATCCATGTTTTTTCACATAACTTAAATGACCATTTATTTTTTAACTGTATTGTATAATTAATACTAGAAGCCATTAATGATTAACAATTTTTTATACATAAATTACGACTTATGGGTATAAAAAAATGTACGAAAGTATTTTTTACTGTTTGATTTAATTTTGGCGTATTTATTAGAGCTCTATTTTCCAAATTTATGAACCGTTGTTATTTCAATTAATATTTAAGCATACATCTTTATCTTAATTTAAAAACTATGACTTAAAAGTGTTAATTTTTTCGATTTGGCTTAAAAAAAATTAAAGTCTATTAAACATTTGAGTGAAAACAAATTTTTTTTAGTTTATTTATACTAAAAAAAACATTTGTTAAGTATACATTTTTGTAGCTTGCATTATTATACTACTAATAAAAATATTCATTTTAATATTTTTTTAAGATAATTTTTACGCCAATTGGTTTTAATTATAATCAAAAGGAACGTCATGTTTGGTCACTATTTCCTATATTACGAGATAAAAACGTTTTAATCACACTACCATCAACAATGATCTATGTCTAAAACGTGACTTCAATGAGTCACATATAAATGTTTGTTTTAAACATTTTTAGCTGCCAATTTGTACGGTTAAAATAAATTATAAGTTTAGCACTGATGAATTTAATTAATTTCAAATTTAGTTTTCTTTTAAAAAGGATTTTCCCATACAACTTACACTAATTTTTAATTGAATGTCAAATATATAAATAATCAATAATTAATTAAATTAATAAATTTGTAAATAATATAGTATTATTTTATTTTATTGTGTTTTCATTTTCGTTGTAATACATTTTTTTAAAGCTTTCTTGCGTTAGGATTATAGCTATAATTTGTAATTTATTGTTAAAACTACTATCTTAATTTAATAATCGGCATTAAAATGTAATTTTTGTAGCTATATAATTGAAATTACTTCGTAGTTAATTATTTAATGATGTTTTAATTTTTCTATTAATCTTTAACTAATATTTTCAGTTATAATTTATAGTATAAATTGATATAATTATTTTAATAAATACACACACTTTAAATTAACTTGACAACTAGACAAAAATTTTTTTAATTATTTTTAAATTTAATCTTTTTATCCAAGGACTACTTGTGAACAGTAATTTTTGTTTTTTTATTGATTTATTATTATTTTTCATGTTTTTTAAATTAATTTCATTGCAAATATGTAAAATTTATAACTCTAAGAATTGTCTGCTTACTTATTTAAAATAATACGTGAAATAGAAACACGATAAAACACTGAATAACAAAACTTTCCCTCTTTGCTTCTATTTATCCTGCATTTATTTCCCTGAGGATTTCATGTATGTACAAAACCCTAAGCCTCTTAAGTGTCTGTATTATATCATGGTCACATTTTACTTTTCTCTACTTATAACTCGTGTATATTTCACCCTTAATTTATATCATACTGTACACTATTTGATTATGTTGGTTGGTTTATTTGAGAATTAAGAAAAATGAACATATCATATACTTTATTCAAAAAGCGATGTTTTTTTATTAACCTTGTTCATATAATTTTTATAATAGTATAAATTCTAAAAATATAATTAATTCTAATCAGTAGAAATCTTTAAAAAAATATCTTAACTATGCTAAAACCAGATTATTTTATTATATTATTTTGAATTACATTATATAGTATCTGTATGTTAAAGAGGAGTGTGAAAACAATAATTTAAACTGTTATAGAATTATTTTTTTAATATTAATTGTATAATTATTTTAAACTGTATAACGTTCAACATGCAGATCTTTACCACTATACTTTAAAATAAGCAAACATTTTTGTTATAGATTTTTTTCCACTTGTAATATTGTTGGAAAAATAAATTTGCTCGCGCCTATTCAATTCTCGTGGTCTTTCGGCGGATAACTCCTCTGATCTTAGCATATTTTTCGCGTTTAACCTAAAACGAGGTATCATAACTGCTCATCCCCTACTTTTACTCCTACACATTTGCATATTTTTACCTACCCATAATATTACGCAAAATATATATGTATTTATAACAGAAGTTGCGTTCTTTATGATTTCTCACATTCAAACAAATCTCCACCCTATGCTATTACCAGAAATATTTTACAAACGCACAAGTCGACGTTAGGAATCTCGCTGAATTCTACGGGCATTAACATAAACGGCTTTTCAACCCATTGCATTCATATTCTTGAAAATATCTAAAATTTATAACAAAAGAATATAAGAGTGTACGATTTAGGTTTGAGATTCTTTATTAAATATATTCAATGACTTTCTGTAATGGTATTCACGAGTACACTGAAAAAATTGTTTTACTTAATCGTCCTATATCAAAATTTACTTTCATTAGAGTATTAATAAAAATATATGACTCATAATTTTTTAAATATTTTAAAACAAAATATTACAACTCTAATATATTTCTAATAACATATACCAAATATATATATTATAAATATATGTCGTATTTTTTTACTGATAATCGATGTGATTATTTAAATATCGTTGTTGGTGAATCCTTTTTAATTCAATGATACGAAATGTCTACCCAAAGCATTGTAATTCTTCAATTAAAGCACATTGTTCATTAAATTGCTTTTGAGTTCTATTTGAATTGAACAAGAATCACTCTAGTAGTTCTGACGTTGATGAGAATTGCTATTGCGACAATAAATCGTAATTGAATCGTATGCTCGTATTCCTTTCTCGTTATTTGTTAACATTCACCGATACACTAAAGTTTTACTTATTTTCTATTACACGAAACACGAACGATCGCTGCGTTTCTTCCTGACGTCGACTCGTTAAAAAAATTGTCCCCCTATTATTGTCTTATCCTTACCTCTCTCGGGGAGTGTCGATCATGTGTACGTAGGCGTACACATGATTCAACATTCTTTGTATAGGTGTTTGTATGTTGAGTATTGTATAAAAATACAAGACTCTATACCAAACGAGTCCTGAATATAAACATATGCAGGACTTGTTTGGCGAAGCGCTCGTTCGTGTAGGAAACTAAAAACATTAGGGGAACTGCGAAAATCGTGTAACATGCAATCCGGTTGAAGGAGTTATTTATTCTTCATGCAATGAAGCATTTTAGACATTTTTGCATGTTATTACTGTGCAGTAGTATATCATGGTCTTATTTAGGAAAAATCAATGATACAAGCTTGAAAACAAGATTATTATTAGAAATGCACATTTTAGATGTTTATAGTTGCCTCCCCCCCCCCAAAAAAAAATTAATTATTAAATTAATATATTATATTTTAAACGGACAATTTAAAATAATTGTACTTTAAAAACCATGTTATAGCTTTACAATGATTAATGATGAAAACTCTTATAATAAAAATAATTAAAACTTGCAAATTTATTGTGTAATTATGTTTATTTGCTACACATTAAGCAGAAAATAAAAAGATAAAAACGTAAGTTTTCAAGATTTCTTGGTAGCATTTTCTTATTTCCATTGCAATTTATGAGTATTATGAACTTTTATTAAATATAATGTAAATAAATTACACAATTTATAATATTAATTAATTAAATCGATTACAGCACCCAGTAGTGTATTTAAAGTTTCAGTATTCCAAAACAGTATAAATTAGAAACCTTATTTGTAAATACTGTATGGGAAGCTTGAAAAATCTCTCCCTTGAAAAGTAAAAAAATATATATATTAAATGGTATAAAAATCATTTTAAAAGAAAGATGAGAACTTAATTAGATCTTCTCCAGTTAGAATTTTTTCGAAAATAATAAAAATTAAAATGCAATTGTGAATAAACTGTAAAATTGTAGTTTTCTATAGATTTTACAATTTCTGTGCTATTACTCGTATAATCTTTTCGCGAATTTCATTAATTAAAAATGGAAAACTGAGAATATAAACGAATACAATTAATATTTTTTAAAGTGATTTTATATAAATTTTTTCGAAAATTAAATTAAATTTTTTTCATTCATTGAAGAATTGTATAAAAAAATTTGAGTGAAACATTATGATTACCCTATGGTTATTTTAAAAATGATATTAATATTGTTAAAACTAAAAACTGTTAACAAATAACTTGGGGTTTGAAGTTAAAGAATTAAAGAATACTTTAATTACTCATATGGCATAATTGTTTTCTTTTTGTTTTGTTAAAACTTGTTTTACTTGTTGCTTATAATAGATTATACATTCCAATATATTTTTAACTTTGTTATTAGTTGATAATAGCTTTTGGATCAGTACTTCGGAACTTATTAGCATTTTTATACTTAAGCGAGTGGAAGAATGCGATCGAAAAATATCTAATGATACAAATAGTCATAGCCGACCACTAATATACTCGAGTAAATAAATAAAATGAAAACTACTCAACAAATTGGCGACAAATGCATTGATTATTTTTCATTCAATTGACAGGCATTTGAAAAAGTAAATATTGAATTCAACATCGAGCCAGGTAGTGAACAAACTTCAAGTGTCATGGATGTATAGTACAATGAATATTCTACATAAGAGATCGCTAGTCAGCTATCAAATAGTAGGACAGGAAGCTCCTATCTTACCCAACTGTCACTCACTCGTGTTCTCTTGTAGCCCATGAATAGCAATAAGTTCATAAGCAAACTGACAAATTTGTATTGATAAGTCTGTATAATTAAGAAAAACAGACAGTTAAAATCGTTCAAAACGCTTATCAATACCACGTTGCCATTTTGTTCATGAACTTATCTTTAATTTGAATTTGATGCACTTACTACTTGGCTCGATTAACTTCAGAATTCATTTCTCAAATATCTGTCCATCAAAC